GCCTACGCACTGCACATTCATCCGGAACTATGTTAGGACTTCCGGGTCGGATTTTGGCAATAGTCTTGCGCGGTTAGTCGATGCGAACACAAGTCATAATCACCACGCTCCCAGGGAACGTTGGTCAGTGGGTTATTTTCTTCAATTCCAGTTTCCCAGCTACCACATGGGACTTCCGCCCTCATTGATGTGTGTAGTTGATATCGTAGCAATCATTTGGGGCGGTATTAAGAAGTGAGCCTGCCCTCGGCTGCCTTTCATTAGCGATCGGGAAGTGATCGATTTAGGATAGAAGCAATCAGTGGTGAAAACGCCGCGGCTGCTCTTGACACCGCCCCGACTGATTGCGACGATATCAGGTGTATTCACATATTTCGCCACTGTTATGTGCACAGAGCCTGCTCTTAGTTTGTCATTAAAGGCAGAGCCTGCGTTCAGTTGATGTTCTCAAGCCTTCTTTGGATATCGTAGCCCTTCGTACAAGGATGGAGGATGTGCTCGCATCTCAAAATTAGAGGAAAGTACCGCCGGCTCGTAAAGGGTTGCCATCCCGCCCATCTACCCCGCTGCGGCAGTCAGGTGGGCGGGGCGGCAGCCTCTCCACGAGGATCTACGGACAACTTGAACTCAATTCCCTTGAACGCGTCGATTTTGTGCTTTTCTCTGCTCTCTCTCTCTCTCTCTCTCTCTCTCTCGTCCGCGTGGCACTCCATGGTCATTGTGACTTCGCACATTCCAGCTTTTCACGTGTGATAAGTGGCTCACCCGCCCCGGAGTCCCTCCCTTTGAAAAATCTCCTTTTCTTGCCATAGTTCTCTGCACGTCTCGATGCTTTGGCAGGCGCTCTTCATGAGCGAGCGATGCTTTCTTCTTGTATTTTTTAGCTGCAAAACTAGTACAGCCTTCATCTTTGTACGAAGAGTTACGACATCCGAAGAAGGCGTCGGTAAACTCTGAAAAAGACGGAAGACTAGCTTGACCTGGACGGAATTCTGCTGCCGGCTCGCGGTAACGGTTCGCTTTTGCTTTACATCCCTATGTCACCTCTTTCGCAAACAATAACGTTGTGGCTTTCATTGCAGATGTATTTCAGGATGCACCGCACACTTGACATTGAAAAGACAAGCAAGACTGCTTGGACCTGGACGGATTCTGTTTCCGGCCACGCTCAACGGTTCAAGATTGGGGAGGCGCGTGAATGCCCCTAGTTGCTGAGGCTCGGAAAGCCCACAAAGATGTTTCTGCTCTTACAAGTGAGTAATTAGGTGACGCTCAAGGGTAGGAGCGCTTACCCTGTCTAAAGAACTACATATTAAGTCTGTGATAACAGGCGACAGTACCCGAAGTGGGCCGCAGTTCTGGGGATAGGGAGTCCCTGCGGCTACCAGAGCGAAGTAAAATAAGTCGCTCTCGCTGATTGATGATCGGCTGATTTTCGACGGTACTATATCTTGTTTGTTTTCCTAACACAAATCCCGTGTCTGCAGGGAGTTTGATAGGAGTCCTGTGAGCAAATGAGCAGTCCTCCTACCATCTGCCTGATTTTTTCCGGTACAAGACTTAGAGTACTCACCACCACACATGGTTGCGATCTCGAGGAAGAGTCGTTCAAGACGTTCGTCCAGAGCGAAAGCAAGCGAATCGCCATTGATCACCAAAGCCACTCCGCCGTCACCTCCTTTCGCTGATGGGGACGAGTCATAAGCGTTTGCTACTGAAAGACCATCCTCATCAAATGAGTTCATGGCACTCTCATTTCTAACGAACTCACCTCCATAGGTCATCGTGGAGGCCTGGCCATCTCCGTGAATGGTTTCAATCTCAAAACGGGGCTTCTCTGCCTCCAGCATGCCATTCTGCTGCAAAGAGTCGTGCTGCTAGTGAAGGCTCAATTCATCAAAGCAGAAATGAAAGATTATTTGGAGGGACCCGACATAACATCTTGTCGGTTCTTTCCAAACAGCGCCAGATAACCCCAAATGCAAGCTCTGTTAGGGTAAGCAACCACTAAAGAGAAGCAACAGATCGATGCTGTTAGTAAACTGAGAATTAGATGTTAATGGAGAGTTACAGCAGTACCGTTTCGCCTTCCTCAAGTACAGCGATAATGTTTCGTATGTACTCATCTACGGTCCTATCCCTTAGGTATTGACGCGGTCGTCGCTAACCGAAAAAGGGGACATTTAGGAGATAAGAGAGAAGGAGAAGGGGAAAGAATGGGAAAGAAGGGAAGAGGGTGAGCTTGGTTGAAGTGAGCATACCAACCGCGTGGTTCATAATACGATCGAAGGTGTTCTTGGTGTCTTTCAGCTGGACTTCCACCTCGGATTGAGTCTGGCCATCGATGACGACGATCTCCTTCATGTCGTCTGTCAAAAGACGGCACGAATAGGCGATGTTGATTGCGGTCTCCTGGAATACAATGGAACTTTCTAGAATGAGCTAAAAGCGAATCCACACACTCCTTGGGGTCGTACTAACCGTCTTATCGCCAGTGAGTACCCATATTTTGATATTTGCTTCAGCTAATCGGGCTATTGCCTCTGGCACGCCGTCCTGGAGTTTGTCCTCGATTGCTGTCCCGCCAATCAAAGTCATATCTGGAAATATTTGTTTATTTACTGTATGCATCCTTAGGGGCGCTACATTTCTCGATGCCATAAAATCAGGTCGAAACTTAAAAAGACAGAAAAATGAAAAGAAAAGAAAAAAAAACGGAAATATCGCGATGGCTCGAACGCTTGAAAGGGTTCTTGAGCCTTAGGCCGCGTTCATACTTTGCGGCAGTGTCCACCAACGTCTACCAGCGTCCACTATCGTTCCGTGTCCGGCAGCGTCAACGACTAGGAAAGTATAGTAATTGATTGGTGTCTACCAGCGTCTATCGGTGTTCACCAGCGACCGGAAGCAGAGAGTATGGGGAAGGGTAGGGTAGCAAATAGGTCGTGAAATTACGGCATGTGCAACCGCACCGCACACTGCTAAAGCACAGAATTATGCATTCAATGTACGGTGTAGTGTAGTTGTACGGTGCGGTTGCACACGCCGCAATTTCACGACGCCTAATCCAGCTGTTTGCTACCCTCCTACTTCCCCATACCCTTTACTCTCGGTCGCTGGTGAACGCTGCGAGATGCTTGCAGACGCTAGACCGATACCTGTCCTTTCTGAGTCGCTGACGCTGGCGGACGCTTGGAACGCTAGGGGACGCTAGTAGAAGCTGGTGACGCTGGTGGACGCTGCCGCTAAGTATGAATGCAGCCTTACCTTTCTCCATTTCCTCATACACAGCTTCGAGCTTCTTCTCACGATTGTACATATCAACGGCTGCTTCATGTTGGCGATTCTGTAATGTTAAGATCATTTTGTCGCTCTTATGGCCCTATGCCGAATAGAACCCACAATCCAGTCCTCGAAATAAGCCGGCTCGATGTCTTTGTAGGCCAAGCAGAGTGTACGGAGACCGATGTTGGCGAATTCGGCCAGATGGGTGTTGGTGGAACTCACCAATAGCGGTGATGTCGATTGCTTCAACCTGATCAGAAAAGAGTCGTGACCTCAGAATGATGGAGCTGCATCTAGTCAGACCGCTTACCTCTGCATGATCATCATGTCAGCTCCTTTGCAGTAGAGACGTATTTTACCCTGCGAATTTCTCGTAATGACCGACATACGTTTACGGTCATTGTTGAAATCCAGAATGCACAACAATTCGTATACCTGAAAGAGGTGTAATCTTAGGAAAGGCAGTGCACTATTTTGCTTTCTTGAATTTCTTAGCGAGATTGGTGGATTTTCCCCAGTTTTCCCCGAAAAACTGCCGAACTGCCGTCGAGCGGGGGGGGGGGGGAGGGTCAGGGTCACCACAACTACTAAATTCAACTGTTGAAAATAACAGTTGTATGTATAAGACTTTCGCCAATACGCCAACTAGGGAAGTATCTGAAGGACATCAAGTAACCCTACTATGCAAATTTACATCGACATCTACGACACGACATTTACATCGAATTTGGTGAGAAAGCTGGGGCCAAATAGCGCCAAGTTGGCGCCAGTGCCGAAAACGAGTGTTGTGTTCGTGATCAGGACACCGAGTGACACTGTGTGGGCAAACTTTCAGCGAAAGAATTTTTTTGACTTCTCAATAGTAGTAGTTTGATAGTGCCGATTTTCAAGTGGTACAACTACAATCAAGGTGAATAAGTCCGCATATGCAGTAACGTAACGCGCCTTTCCGCTCAAAGTACCCGTATTCGAATGCTGTCTCCTAATCCTGACCGCGCTAATCTCGTGGTGCAACTATTGCGTAGATACAAAGGTCCCTCTGCGAAAAATGCACTCAGCGGTAAAGAACATCCAGAAGTGAAAAGGGCGGACAGGTAACGCGTTAGGCTGTGGTTAGGCGTGTGGATGGCGGTGCTATAGCGCGGGCGGAGTCGGGAGACGGCTTCCGGGTAACATGCCTTCCAGCAGCGTTCTCTTACAGTCAGGAGCGAAGTGCTTGGCACGCTACTGCGCTTGCGGACCCATTCACCTCGCACCCAGCAAGGAATAGAATCCACAGAGGTGAATGTACAGTTCCTCTTTGGAAATGCCGTGAGCCAAAGATCCAGGAGGAGATCATCCATAATATGGCCATGATTGGTAGCCTTGCCGGCGCTGTTTATCGACGGGGGGGGGCATTTTGTATTATAATTGCTTCCCTGGTTCCGGTTTACAAATCTCACTCTGGTAAAACTTGTGAACTTGTGAAGCTGGAGCAAGATCGTCTAGCCACCATCCTAAAACGTGTCAACTCGAAAAAAGGGTACCTAGATGGGTTGGCAAATCTATGAAAAGCAGAATGCCCCCCGTCGATAAACAGCGCTGCCTTGCCATAAAGGTCCACTATCATCAGGCTAGGATGGAGTGGGTAAGCGTAATTTACTAATTGTGGCAAGGAGATCAGTGTGAACAGCGAAGCCACCCAGAAAGTTGGTAGAATTTTGCCCTCCAACTGCTGCTATGGAGGTGGAAATTAGATTGTATTGAGCTGAGGGAAGAAAAGTAGGTAGGAGCGAGGACGGAAAAGTGTTTACAACCGCCTTTCCAAAATCACGTGATTAATCTTAACAATGTCAAAGAAATCCTGGAAACGGCTCAGTTTCGAAAATCTTCCATTCCACAACTGCTATACATAATCTCCAACTTTCTACAGCTTAAGGCCTTCGTTAGAAACCCCATTCTGCCCTCTCCCTCACTTGAAATTCGCCATGGTTTTGGAATAGAGTTTATTTCCTTGTTTCGCAGTTGCATCCGTCATCAGTACTGGTTCCCAACTATTCGTCATTCTTTATAGCATCGTCAAATCCTAACAAGTTCTCCATTTTCTAAAGAAGCAACCACCACAATTACATGTTGCTGATATCCAAATCGAAAATTAGAAACTCCATGGTAAGAGAAAGGTGAATCAGAAATAACAAGTACCTACCTCTTCCTTGCCCATCACTTCAATGGTGATCGATTGTGGAGTTCGACCTCGAAAGACGAAACCGAAGTTGCGAGCAGCCGATGTCAAAGCAGCTTCGTCCGGTGATTGAGCCTGATAGACGAGCTGACCCTTGTCGCGTTCAGGCATTACCGTATGACACAGAGCGAGTAGTCGCCAGAATTCTGTTACCTGAGAATGGAGGGTGAGCTGTTCAAAGGTGGAAACAAGGCAGAGCGAGCTTCATGAACCTACCTCGGGTACGCCCCTCTTCGTATCATCCAGCAACTTCTTGTCGTAAAACATGAACGCTGTCTCGTAATGCGGATTCCATGAGAAATCGATCGGCTTTGTTTGCTGAAAATCATCTGGAACTGCGGAAAAAACAGAGCAACAACTAAGCCAACTTAGTTTGACAATCTTCAATTTCAAAATTTCATAGGTCCTTATGGTACAGTTTTCAGAGTTTAAAACCTTATCAAGAGGACACAGGGTACCAGAGTGTGTGGGTTCAGGTCAAGAGATCTGGGTCACAGCTGCGTGGCGAAAAAGGCGTTGGAAGGCTGAAAACCTCTGCACTTCAAGCTACATAAACTCGATGTGACGCAGAAGTGCAAAGTAGGCCGAGTAAACCCCTTGAAATATGAATAATAAATATGACGAATATCGAATCTCTTCCTCTGCGTCACTCTGACCAGGAGTTCCCTACCCGTACCCGGAGTCCGGTTCGTCGCCTAGCTTTCGCGTGCCCTTATTTCTGGATACATGGTCTCTTCTACAGTCTTGTCTGCTGCGGACGCTAGGCTTCTCAGAAGGACTTGGATCGGTGCCAGCCCGTTTTCAACCATCTGCCGTCGCTTGTCCTCCTCATCAGTTGGAGGAGAACGGACCGACGGTGTGCCAAACAAAGCCTTCCCCTTCCCACTCCTCCACACGCTACAGAATCCGCTGCGAAAAGGTCATTCACCATCGCTCCCTGAACCTCTTTCAAGCTTTTTCTCGGTAAGTGAAAACTAAAATACAGCAGGGAATTTAATATTCGGCTGAAATAGTTTCCACTGCACATAACGATAACATACCGGTGTGATTTCGATCTGTTCCCCACGAGCGTCAACGACGTTGCCATAGCAAATGCCGTTGATGGTGCACTTGTTGAATGTCATGATGTTCCTGGTGAGTGTCCCAGTTTTATCGCTGAACACGTACTGCACCTGCAATTGTACTGTTTATCATCTGCACTGCCCGTTTAACGGATCGTGTTCTATCTAACCTGGCCCAGCTCTTCATTCAATGTGGTGGTATGTGCTCGTGCCGGCACGCTGTTCTCGCCATTCTCATAGTACATCTCCTGATCGTAGTTGATCCATAGCGAATGGATGAAACGGATGATTTCCACGCTAAACTTGTAGATCGTAAGGATTTCACTCCCCTGCAAAGCACACGAAACAGCGCGTTTGGAGCGTTCATCCCAATCGCGGCAACGCAGTACGAGTTAACCCGGGGATATACACTCCCATCCCTGCAAGCAATAGGGCGTGTGACGCGGCGCGAATTACAGAGTAGCCAACACGCCCTTTTCCCACCAATGATGACATCCTGAGCCTGATACAGCCTGATGGGGAGTCTAATCTTGCTGCGTCCTAAGCCATGTCCCCGTAACACGTCCCATGGTTCGGAGAGATCATGACTCTGAAATCTGTAGTGCTGAATGGGTTGGGCCGCGATATGGATGCTGCTCACGTCAACTCCCCGCCTTGTTCCCGGTTTCTGCTTTGCAACGCCGTCTTGACTGGTAAGGGACGCTCCACACCCGAAACACGCAAAACGCAGAAAAACGCAAGGTAAGTTAATGGTGTGAGTAGTGTACCTGACGTATAACGATATAGGTACGCCAACGGTGTTGGCAACAAAATGCACATAAGGAAAACGATAACAGTCTAGAAAAGAGATGACGGCGATCTGTTGTGAACCTGAACAAAACTGGGCTAGTGGGTGAAAGCATTCGAATAGGCACAGAAAAGCGCAAACTAGAACCTGAAGCCTGTGGCCATAGTCAATCACCTTTTGGATTGCGCCACGAACTGCACTGCTATCATGGGTCGAAAACGGCTTCTTGAATGCAGTATGTCGGACTTCAAGCAGCCTGCCCTGGCAGGCTGTCTTCACTTAGGGAGCGTCCCTGGGCCGTTGGGAAGGCTTCTTGCAACATACGACCTCCCCACTCGGTGGGATCCCTCGAACGCAAGGAAGTTCCGTCCGCGGTACACCACTGTCACACAGCATGTGTTGTTATATCCCTTCCCGGAATGGTCCTGGTGTTAATCAGTTTTTGCCTGGGTATATGTCCAGCACTTCTCTGACCTATAGTGGGAAAAGCGCGGGATCCGAACCACTGACCATTCCCATGGTAAATGGCTCTACTACACTACCTCCGCCTCTGAACTGAAACTCATTAATGGGAGAGATTACTGTGAGAGATGCAACGCAGCACCAAGGAGTCCCGGGTACAGGTTGAGCAAAATTGAGCCCAAATTGTCAGGTTAGTAAAAGAAAGCCATAGGACAGGTGTTTCTCTGGCATTTCTTACACGACGCTTGACCCTGTGCCTACCGATCCTTGGGCTGCATTCGTATTTTGCGGCGTCCGCTAGCGTTTAAAGCGTCCGGCAGCGTCAGCGACTAGAAAAGTATAGATATCGATCTAGCGTCTACCAGCGTGCACCAGCGTCTCCCAGCGTTAGCCAGCGTCTACCAGCGTCCACCAGCGCCTCAAGAGCTTGGGAAGTACAGGTATCGATCTAGCGCCTGCCAGCGTATGCTGGTGTGCACCAGCGTCCACCAGCATCCGGGAGAGGAGAGTATGGCGCGATAAGTGGGTAGCAGACAACTGGTACCCTAGTATCGCGCGATACTCCCTACCAGCAGTCTGCTACCCTCCTATCGCGTCATACGCTACCAGCTGTATGCTATCCTTCTATCGCCCCCTACTCTCCATCCCGGACGCTGGTAGACGCTGGTGCACACTGGCAGACGCTGGTAGACGCTAGATCGATATCTACACTTCCCAGTTGCTGACGCTGCGGACGCTCGGAGCGCTAATGGACACTGCCGCAAAGTATGAGCGCAGCCTAAGGTTTTTCATCCTGCTCTGTCAAATGCTTTGATTAACCAGAGTAGAATTTAGAGTGGCTGCCGAATTCATCTGAGAGAGTAAAACTATTGAGTTATACACCTACTGCATTCCTCAGTCTATTTCATAGCCCCATGGAAATCAAGTGCACGGCCCATAGAGAAGCTTGGCACCAATTGTGGTAAGACTCCAACACCATTAAGTACGGCACTTACCATGCTGCTGCCTATTTGGTACGCTCTCGTCCCATGGCAAATAGATGGTGAACCACCGTCCAGTAGTCCATTCCCACACACCACACAAGATCGTACAAATCAATACACATCGCTATCAGGAACAGTACGATCTAAACGACATGGTTTGGCTGAAAGAAATGAACCTAAACCGAAAGGAACGGTTTCAGCGTTGGCACTCACTCCCATGATCAGAATGTTCAGAAATCGATCGAGACTAGTACGCTTGAATTTCGATTTTCCCGAGTTCATCATGAGCTTCGTGTCTTTGCCAGCGAAAATCACCAACCCATAGCACCTGAAATAGTAATTTATTTGGCCAGTACGTGCAGCAATATTGATATGCCTTGCTCATGTGATGGTTAACTGGGCCTCTGACGAGAACGATCCAATCCAAAATGTCAGCTCTCAGAAGTTTTCAAGCTTCTCCCAACAACAATTTCGCGAGCAGAGATTTACACCAATTCCCTGGGTTCTGAAGAGAGGTGAATTGCAGGCTAGAAGTAGCGTTTGTCACTGAAAATCATGTGTCTATTTGCTTACTCGCTTCAAGACAAACAGCGCAGCCTTTCAAAGTTGTGTCCACAGTAAACATTTACTTGTGGCTTTTGATGAAATTGTAGCGTTTCAAGTCGAAAATGGTCATATGTTCATGGGAAATCCGTTCAGAATGCTGAGTAGTGGGTTCATTTCCATACAGTCGCTGATCTGCCCTAGTGCCCTTATAGGTCGGAGTAATGGCTAAAAATGTGAAGAAAAATGTATGTTCCGTGGGGAACGCACTTTATTTAAAAGTCCCTATTCAAGGTATGCCTCATTTTCTGTTGCTATGAACCTATTTTCACTGAAGAATGCTTTTCGTTCTGTTGCCGAGCACTATCCCTCCCCTACCACGCCCCCTCCCCGTCGCTCCCCAAAATCCCACAACTGATTGGGAGTGTCATGAGCTTGTTCATTCTCAAATCTACTCCCAAAATACACTTCAGCAAGAACTTGTCACGAGTTCCTGCCACAATGAACAAATACTAGCCTGAGGGACTATACTTTGGCAGGGAGAGGGGAGTGGGGTCAGTAGCACCAGAGCACCACGAAGGTGATGGTAAACATAGAAGACCTAAGTCAAAAACTTCTGAAATGATCTCTTCGAGTAAAAGCAAACCCTCTACTACTGCTTCGCCTGCTATGTCACGAAGGGGTGAAGACATCTACCAGCCCTTCTGGGCTCAGGACTTTTGCGTCGGGCAGCTTCGCAGTTTTCAGGATGAGCCACTCCTCGTGTAGTTCCGTGAGACCTTCGCTCTGATGAAAGGAGACACCAGCCATCCAAGGACAGCGTTCACAGTTCGTTTTCCTGACTCGGCTCTACAAGTTTGGTTTATTGTCAAGTGCTGTGAAGTTTGTGGTTTGTGAGTTTGACCTTTGGGCACTTAGCCCCTCACTCCGTGCGGATTGAATTTTAGGGGTAAGTTCCAGGGTAAGCCAAGGATCCAAGAGGTCTATTATTGACAGCGCTTGAACTAGTGGGAACGATACATACTTCACTGCGCAAATACAGTCGGGCTTATGCTTGGTCAATTGATCTGAGATGTAATTGCTCCCCAATCACTTTCTCCAGGCACCTTAGATCACCTTAGGAGGCGGTTCAAAAGATAAGGCCCTAGTAAAGCCACGAGTACTGATTCGCTATCCCGTGAAAAGCACGTTATTGTGTGATGCAAAAGCACCCTTCGTTAATGGTCACTGGAGATGGTTTGGAATCAAGTCTCACCACCACAGCTGGGTGAGCAGCTCTGGGTCACAAAGCAGCGTCGCGCTCCTTTAGGGTGTGTTCCATTCTCAAAGAACCACGGTGAGAGTGAGTCGAATGAGCACGCCTGAAGACAATTCCTGCGATCAAGTATTAGGGGAAAATCGACACCTGTGACGTTTGGGCAACCCCTGGTTCACAAATGGTCTCTTTGTATCCTCCAACACTAAATCCCATATTATTATGGAAAAAGAACACGAAAAAAAGCATAGGAGCAAAACTCGTATCAGGAGGCAGCTTCCGAAAACTCTGCTCACAAAACTGAGATTATATTGAACAATGCACGACAAGATTTTGAACTACTGCAAGTGTATCGCTGGTGAATGCGGCAGTGTCAGAATGCGTTTTGCTTTGCTCGCTCGTTTTCAAAGGAGAAGCTGGCCAGGATAAGCAGAACGACCTGTGCCCCTGCAAGAATCGAGACGCCACCGTTTCCTGTGAAAAGCACATGGGATCGTCCTAAGGATAAGACGCAGCAAGCAACAGCATGGTAGTTAGTGGTGTATGGTTGCGGAAAAAAAAACTTGGAACAAGCTTTGAAAAGGCATTCTTATCTGTTCTAATCCATTTTTATACACCAGTATTAGTGTCAGAAGCTAAGAATATAATGTTATAATACAATAATATTAAAATTTTGGTTAAGCGGAGATAGTGTAGTGGCAAGTGGCGCCACTTACCACAAGCGTGGTCTGGGGTTCGAAGCCCGGATCGGCTCCCGCCTGAACCAACCGAGTTTTTCGTGCCTGCGGGGAAAGCTAATTAGTAGTACAGTCGTCAAGAAGATAAAAAAAGTCAACTCTACATTGGCAGCCCACACCCACCCGCAACCCCACCCCCTTCCTCAAAGTGCCTCATCGCCGTAATCTTCAAAATTCTGTCCCTGCAGCTAATTCATCAACCAACTTTCTTCTTTAGAGTAGCTTTCTTAGGGGTACTTAGTTCGAGCAAACAACCTTTTCATGTACAGTTTAAAACTCTTGGGTAAGGCTTGTTCCAAGTTTTTTCCCGCGACTGTATGTATACTCCTTATCCCTGAGCCAGAGTAGGCG